TTATGTTTGCTTTTCTTACTGGGGGGGGCGGGGACAGGTTAGAAATTTTAGAAGTTTTATGTTTATGTATTGATCATTTTTTGTTGGGATTACAAAAACTATATCTTTAAACCGGTGAATATATTTTTTCATGCAAACCTGGCGGATACCCATCAACGTTATTTTCAATATGTAAACAAAGCTCTGAAAATTTTCCATAAGAAACGAAATGCATTTGCAAATTTGTAAAAAAAGCAAAGAATACAATAAAATACAATTTTAAAAATTGGCTAAAATAATCAGAATTTTTATAAATCAATCAATCTTCGTTTAGCGTCCAGAGACCCAGTTTCCCGAGGTAGGACTTGTTTTCTTTGCTATCACTTTTTGCCACAAATTAGACGATCAGTTGTATCCATTTCATTTAAATTTAGAGCTTTCATGTCTTGCTCGATTGTTTGCGACCAGGACTTTTTTGGATGGCCTTTGGGACGTGTGCCAGGTACTTCAACATCTGCAAGAGAAATTTTGGCACTGTATCCACTTCATTTTACATGACCAAATCACCGCATTCGTCCTTTATATCATCTAAACCAGTACGACGCAAGATTTCAGTAGATATGATGTGGTTCTTCAGACTAATTCGTTGCATCCATCGGAGCATATTCATGTCTGTTCATTAAAGTTGTTGTTCCAGTTTAGTTGTCATTGGCCATGTTTTTGAAGCATATAACAACACCGGACGTTTCACAGATTTATAAAGTCTTCATCGTAGTGGTAGAGGCAATGAGATACCATTTATTCCACAATGATTTTGTCGACAATTTTCAGGGAGTGTTCTAACAGACGTATACTCCGATATGATGAACAGTTCAATGGATCACATTTGCCTTTGTATAGCGGCATGCTATAGTTCCATTTAGTCGGCATTGAGCAATTTCTCCACACTTCACGGCAAAGTTGTAGTAACGTTTGGAGACATGCAATACCAGATGCTTTGATAATGTCATTTGTGAGTCCAGAGGGCCCTGCTGCCTTTCCATAGCTTTCAGAGCTTCTGTAAGCTCCTCTACAGTGATGTCTGGAATCGGACTTTCGATCGGTGGAGCGTCAAAGTTGACATTGATGTGATTTCTCCACACTTCACGGCAAAGTTGTAGTAACGTTTGGATACCTGCAGTACCAGATGCTTTGATAATGTCATTTGTGAGTCCAGAGGGCCTTGCTGCCTTTCCATCCTTCATAGCTTTCAGAGCTTCTTTAAGCTCCTTTACATTTAACAGACGGTTGAAGTATTCTCTCCACTGTAGCTTGATCTCATCTTGTTCAAGAACCATCTCATTTTTGTCGTATTTGATACCTGAGGCACCAACTATGTCTTTTTTCGTACGCTTTGCTTGTTTTGCTATATGATACAGAGATTTCATTTGTTCACCTTTGCTTTTAGTGAGCCACTCTCTGCACTGCTCTGTCCGAGCCAGTGCCACTTGACGTCTTGCATAGTTGTTCTTCTCACGGAAAATTTTATGGTCATCAACAGACTTTGATTTTTGCCATTGCTTGTATGCAGCTTTCTTTTCAGCTATTGCATTTTGTACACTGTCATTCCACCACCAAGTGTCCCGTTCATGCTGACGTTTTGTACCAGTTTTCCCCACAAACTGTAGTTGCAGCGTTTATCAAAACGGTTTTGTATGTACTCCAATCTGTACTGGCTTGCGATTGGTGGTCTAACTGTATTGAGGCAATCTGTTGAAATTTTTCTTGATGAATATTGCTTTTCAGTTTCCACGTTTTAATTATCCGAGGCATTTGTTTAGACTTATGTTTTGACAGTTCGACAACCAGGTCTGCCACAAGGAGTCTATGTTGGGCGACACATGATTCGCCAGGTATAACTTTGACATTTTTGAACAGCCTTCGGTGTTGTTGCTTGACAGCGAAGAAATTAATTTCCGTGACTGATGGTCCACTTTTGTATGTTATGAGATGTTTCAACCTCTTTCTAAAATATGTGTTCAGTAAACAAAACCCGTGACATTCAGCAAACTCAAGGATGCGGTTGCCATCTTCATTCCGTTCTCCATAGCCAAAACCGCAAAACCAAGAATTTTTATAAAATGTATAAAAAATATTGATAAAAATTGAAATAACAAAAAATTCAATTTAACTTGTAATCAAATTATATACATTTTTAAAATTTACGTTTTTGTTATGTTACATCACGTTAAAATATATCAAAATATAATCCAAAGTGAGGATAGATTTTTTTTAAATATTACGAGTACGAGTGGGCCGAACTAATAAATTCAAGGGCCAATTTATTTGTTATATATATATATATATATATATATATATATATATATATATATATATATATATATAACCGATTTACGATGCGACGGGTTCAAATCTTCGATTGAATAAAATACTCCAAACAGTTATTCGTTATTAAACTTTATTTACAGAAGAAATCAACTAATCGTTTATTTCTAGCAAATTCAAATTAACGCAACAATTAACTTTTAAATTGTTTAAAATCTATATATATATTCAAATCACTTTTATTCAATCAAACAAAACAAAAAGCATGAATGATTCGGAGGGAAAAAAAAGAAAATTAATTCTTGTGGGCTCGGCCACCGTGCAACTCAAAATAGCTTCTCAATGATAACGCAACAAGAATAAATTAGAATAAAGATAAAATAAAGTTGTCAATAGAAGAAAATGTATCAATGTTAATGAAATATATACACTCATATACACATATTGTTATAATACTCGCTGTCGTAACCGATTTACGATGCGACGGGTTCAAATCTTCGATTGAATAAAATACTCCAAACAGTTATTCGTTATTAAACTTTATTTACAGAAGAAATCAACTAATCGTTTATTTCTAGCAAATTCAAATTAACGCAACAATTAACTTTTAAATTGTTTAAAATCTATCGCTATGACAACGTCAACAAACAAATCAAATATCGCTTTAAATAATTCACCGAATCGCTATTCACGAAATCACAAAATCACGAATTTCACTAATCACGAATCTTCTTGCGACGTGCGCTTATATACTCTTCGCAAGCGTCGTTTCTAGATTCTTCCAGATGGTCCGATTCTAGCATACTCTAGAATGCTCCAGTCACTAGAACATTCCAGAATACGCTAGAATCTAGTGCGTTCGGTATCACGGTTATAACATTACCCCCTTCTTAGTTCTGTTCGTCCCGTCAGCTTTCGTTCCGGTGTCCGCATGGTACGGAGCCAGTCTATCCAAATGAACGATCTACATTCTTGCTTTCGGCTTCCGATATTCCTGAATACGGTAGACGACGTCATTCAAGCGGGTGATGACTTGATAAGGTCCTTCCCACCCTCGCTGGAGCTTTGGAGAACGTCCTTTCTTTTGCTGTGGGTTGTACAGCCAAACTAACTCGTCGACAGCAAAACCGCCACTGCTTCCTTTCACATTGTAGATTTGCATTGCTCCTTTTAGCCTTTTTTTGGGTCCTTTGACTGAAGCGCATGTGTTACATTTTTGACACCAACTCTCTACATCTTCTCTAACGTGAGGCCAGTAGAATCCTTCTCGTATTTTGTCAAGGGTCTTGTTCACTCCTAAATGTCCCCCAGAAGGGCCGCCATGCATTTCATCAAGAATTTCGGTCGTTCTACTTCTTGGTATTACAACTTGCATGCGGTGTTTTGATCCATCAGCTGATTCCCATTTTCGTTTCAGCAAATCCCCTTCCAAATATAATGAGTCCCACTGAGCCCAATAGCCCTTTAACACGGCACTATATTCTGAGATGCTTTGCCAGTCCGGTTGCTTGCCCTCAGTTTTGTGATCAGATGTTGTAGGTCCTTATTCGCAAACTGTGCATCAGCAAGATCCGTCGGTGTCCAACCGTCATCCGCTGATATTGTTGTTGCTCTTATGTCTTCCGATTGTATCTTCTCCTCGTGACGACAGCAATATTTGCATCCTGGTAAACATGGTCGACGTGAGAGAGCATCAGCATTACTATGAGTTGTTCCTTTGCGGTGCACGATCTCGAAGTCGTACATTTGTAAACGCTCCATGATCAGTTCGGAGAAGAATCTGTCCATAAAGGTACTTGTGGAAGTGTTTTGTTGCTTTGACTATTGCTAGTAACTCCTTCCTGGTCACACAATAGTGTCGTTCGGGCTTTGTGAATCCTCTGCTATAATACGCTAGCACCTTTTCTTCTCCGTCTATATGCTCAGACAAAACGGCTCCGATTCCGTTGTTACTTGCATCAGTATCTAACACAAACGTCTTGCCACGAACTGGATATGCTAGCAAAGGAGCATCACATAGTTCAACTTTTAACTTTTGAAATGCTGAGTCGCATAGGGTATTCCAGTTGAAAACTCGGTCCTTCTCGGTAAGTTGGTGGAGAGGTCTGGCAACTTTTGCAAAATCCTTTACAAAACGTCGATAGTACGTTGCCAATCCCAGAAAACTGCGCAATTCATTTTTATCCTTTGGAGTTGGCCAGTCTTTCACAATTTCTATCTTGCTGGGATCGGTTCGAACTCCATCTGAAGATACCACATGTCCCAAATAATTAACTTCTTTAGAAAATAATCTGCACTTTTTAACGTTCAGTTTTAAATTTGACACCCGAAGTCTTGTGAAGATCTCCCGTAAGTTTTCGACGTGTTGATCAAATGTTCTTCCTAGAACAATTATGTCGTCTAAATAAACAAGACAGGTTTTCCAGTTAAGACCTTGCAATACACATTCCATCAGTCGCTCGAATGTAGCTGGAGCATTGCACAATCCAAATGGCATGACGGTGAATTGCCACAACCCCGATCCGATAGAAAACGCTGTCTTTTCGCGATCGTTCTTGTCGATTTCTACTTGCCAGTATCCGCTTTTCAAATCAAGCGTGGAGAACCAACTTGAGCCAGATAGGGTGTCCATGATGTCATCAATCCTCGGTAACGGATAGCTGTCCTTTTTAGTCACATCATTTAACTTCCTATAATCAACGCAAAAACGGGTAGTGCCGTCCTTCTTCTTTACCAAAACAACTGGCGAAATCCAGGGACTTGATGACGGTTCGATGACGCCTTGATTCTGCATTGTCGTTATCATTTCGTTTACTTCTGTTTGTTTTGCTAGAGGAAGACGTCGTTGTACTTGTCGTATCGGTTTCATAGAATTCCTTGATCTGTTGTTTTAACTCTTCTGTCTGTCGTTCGGACTGTCGTTCGGACTGTTCTTTGATCTGTTTTAACTCCTCTGTCTGTCGTTCGGACTGTTGTTTTGTTTCAGTTGACATACTAAGCAGAAGTTCCATCATTTTAGCGGTTGTAAACGTGCCTGTGCTAATTTCATTGTCTTCCTCAGCACCATCAAACTTGAATTCGTCTGGGTTCTTACCTTCGTCAATCAGAGCTTCTCTCAGACGTGCTACTAGTACTTCTTTGTTGCCACTTGTGACAAGGCTTCGTTTCTCTAGTTTTTCTCGTAGCTGAACTACGTTCAAACCACACAGTTTTGACATCGTGTTCTTTTTCTATGAGTAGTAATTCGCTAGTTGAAGATCCCACTTCTGACACCAATGTTATAATACTCGCTTTCGTAACCGATTTACGATGCGACGGGTTCAAATCTTCGATTGAATAAAATACTCCAAACAGTTATTCGTTATTAAACTTTATTTACAGAAGAAATCAACTAATCGTTTATTTCTAGCAAATTCAAATTAACGCAACAATTAACTTTTAAATTTTTTAAAATCTATCGCTATGACAACGTCAACAAACAAATCAAATATCGCTTTAAATAATTCACCGAATCGCTATTCACGAAATCACGAATTTCACTAATCACGAATCTTCTTGCGACGTGCGCTTATATACTCTTCGCAAGCGTCGTTTCTGGATTCTTCCAGATGGTCCGATTCTAGCATACTCTAGAGTGCTCCAGTCACTAAAACATTCCAGAATACGCTAGAATCTAGTGCATTCGGTATCACGGTTATAACAATATATATACATATACATTATTATCCTTTAAAAACAGAACTTTTCGTAATTAAAAAATTTTTCAGTTTATTTTTAAAAAGATGCAAAGTGTTACAATCTCTAATTTCTTGTGGAATCGTCTCCCATATTCCTGGGCCGGTGTGTTTCAAACTCATGCAGAGTATTTTAATTCTGGCTGGTGGAGCATAGTAAAGTGGCGGGTAGTTCTTGTTTGAATGGAAGTTCCAAAAGTTAAAAAGTGTCTAAAAAATGCCGGAAATGCTGGTAATTGCTGACGTAGAAATCTAAAAATGAATGTTGCAACGGGGTAAATGAACAAGTTTTTGATGTTGAGTATTTCCATCTCGAGATAATATTCACTTGTGTGACAGTGAGAATGAAGATTTTTTAATATTCTAATAAATCTGTTTTGACAATTTTTTAACTGTTTTAGATGAATGTCAGGACTGTTTCCCCAAATAACGTTGCAGTAGACTTGAGGAAAAATTAACGAATAATACAGATCAATTATAGTAGGTTTATTTATTTTAAATTTTGCTTATAACACCTAGGGTTTTGCATGTTCTTTTAGACATAGTATCTATGTGAATACCCCAAGAATGATTTTCCTTGATTGTTACTCCAAGGAATTTTGTGCTGGTTGAGCGAGGAATAGAAATATTGTTCATTTTTATGTCTAGGTCAGGTATAATATTTGTTAAAATTTTCGGACCAAAAATAATGTAACTACATTTGGAATAATTTACTATTAATTTATTTTGATAAACCAGGTTGATATATTTTGAAGACTGTTATTGATACAATCTACTTCTTTCAATGGGTCTTTAGTTGGGAGGAAGATGTTAGTGTCATCTGCATATAGAAGGTGATTTGCATCAGTTGCATGTTGAAAGTCATTCATGAAGATTATGAATAGAAGAGGACCCAAAATTGATCCTTGTGGCACGCCTGATCTAACGTTAAGTATTGTTGAGGAGTGACTTTTCATTGCCACATACTGGTCTCTGTTCTCTAAATAACTTTTGAACCATGCACTTATTTTTCCTCTTATTCCATGTGAATTTAATTTTTTAATCAGTATATCATGGTTGATGACGTCAAAGGCCTTTGAGAGGTCTATGAATACACCTACAGTTAGTATTTTTTCATTAAGCTTATTTATAACATTTTGTGCTAATTGCAGCACAGCTTGCTCTCTTGCAAACATAAGTTAACGAGGCTTGCGAGAAAAACAATAAAAATATCTATGTTTTTTAAGCACATTAGTCGGAAAAACATCTAACATATAGGTTTTGGCCGGTGACCAAGCACAATTTTCTTTATGTCTAGTTCCTCAACGACAGCAAAATTTGTGAGCAGACAATTTTCGGTAAGCCTACATCTATCAAAAGTAGGTTTTTCGTTAATACTAGTGTTATTTCAAGTGTACCACCGAGAACATGTGTTGACTCATTGATGTAATTTGTTAATTGGAACATTTCAAACCCTTGAATCAGATTAACGGTATGTCTATCTTTGTTTATTTCAACGTGTATGTTAAAATCACCAACTAACATAACATTCAAACTTAAAATTGTAATATTTTCTAAAACACATATGAGTTCATCGAAAAATGTAGAACTGACTTGAGCCGAACCTGGTCGGTATAACGCCAATAAAACAAAGTCTTTATTATTTACGATCATTTTAATAGCTACAACCTCGAACGTTGTTAGAACAGGTAGTTCAATTAATTTATATTTAAAGTTTAATCTAAAAACTACAATTATTTCTCTATGCCGCGGATCATTTAATCTAAGAAAATCAACAAACGATATCCTGATGGTATAGATGATTTTACTGAAATATTGTCTGTTGAACCATGCCATGTTTCCACTAAAACAAAGATGTCCAAACCCTCTTGGATTAATTCATAAATAATATCAGACTTTGAGTTGACAGATCTTATATTAAGTAGGCCAAGCAAAATGTTGCACTTATTTTTTGTTACATCTGTAGCCAAATCTTTAGTTACTTAATTTTTACTGAGACAATTGTTTAAGTGAATTTTTTTGAAACTGTATTATCTTCCAGCTGGTCCTCTGACACGGTATAAAAAATTCTCTTTATCATCAGATTACATTGATTTAGCTTTTTCAACAAACGTTTTATACTCCTGCCTCTGTTCCTTTGTCAAATCATCACTTAGTCCAACACCGGCAAGTTTATCAGCCATTGTCTTCATCTTGTAAACATTTCTCATTATTGAATTTTTAATTTTTGCATTTTCAAGCTTTATCAACAATGGTCTGACTTCGTCATCACTTTTTTTTACCTAGCTTGGTAGTTTTTAAAACATCCTTCTCTGAAATGTCTTCAACCAAATGTTGCAATATCTTCATAACATCAGTGCGATCATTGCCGCTCACAACTAAGCGAAAAACCATCAGGTTTGACTCTCTGTTTTTCATCTCATTCACTTCAGTCAACATTTTTTGAACGGTTCTAACTTCATTGTTAATTATTTCAGTATTTTTTTTAACTTTTTTACTGACAATGCTGGCAAAAGTAGTACTCATTTCTTGCTTTAAACTCTTGATGTCATGACGAATTGAAGTATCTGTGCAATCAATATCAACTAATTTATTTTCGTTCGAAGTTATCAACATTTTTAAACTGATTATTTCTGATCGAACCTGAGTGTTGACATCATCTAGTTTCTCAAGTCTTGTTATCATCTCATTTTTTTTACTGTCAATTTTATCCAATACATCTTGTCTACTAGCATCAACAGATTTTAAGAGTGAATCTAAGTTGAACGGAAGCTTCACACAACTATCACAGAACCATTTCAGACCATTGCAGTTTTTCAAAACATCAAGTAAACTATCATTAGTAGAAATAAACTTTACATGTACGACAATATCACAACGACTGCAACGTAATACACTATCCTTATCTTTCACATTTGTACTGCCTAAACACTTCGCACATTTAGGAGACATGTTTACCTGGATACAGTCAAGACAGCGCTATAGGTTGAGCGTTGCAATTAGTCACGTGATAACAACAAATTAAAAAAACTTACAAATTTAGTTCAAACTCAGCAACTAAAACTATATTACATTAATCTTAAATTTTTTTATAAAAAATTATCCCTTTTTCAATGAAATTATAATACAATTAAATTTATTTAAGCCAAAAATGTGACGAGCGAAATATCCGACCATTCACAACCAATATCACGTATATATATATATATATATATATATATATATATATATATATATATATGGGTTCATACTGTCGCATATACAGTTATTAAGAAATATCACCGCATTTTCCGCATTGTTGAGTTTGTAACTAAATAAATTTTTTGAACAATTATTCAATTATTTTATCGATATTATCCAATTTATTCAATCAATCAATCAATCTTCGTTTAGCGTCCAGAGACCCAGTTCTTCCGAGGTAGGACGTTGTTTTTTGCCATCAATTTTTTGGGCCAAATTATGTGATCAGTTGTATCCATTTCATTTACATTTAGAGCTTTCATGTTTTGCTTGATTGTTTGCGACCAGGACTTTTTTGGACGGCCTTTGGGACGTGTGCCAGATACTTCAACATCTACAAGAGAAGTTATGGCACTGTTTCCACTTCGTTTGACATGACCAAACCACCTCAGACGGTGTTGCCGGCATTCGTCCTTTATGTCATCTAAACCAGAACAACACAGGATTTCAATTGATTTGATGTGGTCCTTCAGACTAATTTGTTGCATCCATCGGAGCATCGGTTCGGTGAAGTTGTTGTTCCAGTTTGGTTGTCATTGGCCATGTTTCTGCACCATATAACATCACCGGACGTACCACAGATTTATAAAGTCTTGATCGTAGTGGTAGTGAGATGTCACGCCGCATCAATATAGAGGCAAGGAGATGCCATTTATTCCAGGCTGCACGTATGCTTGCTCAAACGGCAGCTTTAGCTGTTCCAGTACAATCCAGAACATCCCCTAGATATTGACTTTTTCTACCTTAATGGCTTCAAAAACATTACTATTTCAAATTTGTTGTTGTGGATTGATGCAAGCAGGACAAACAAAATTGGACACTTTATATAATTTACCAATTATTTTTGAACAAGGTTTGTGACACCACTGGTTACACTGCTGACACTTGATTGAATTGTTACCTACACCAGATTTACAAACTGAAAAGAGCCATCGTCCAGTAGCTTCAACAGATTTCGTACAGCAATCCTCAAGCTGAACAAAGAAAAGTGCAAACTATTTTTCCGAGAAGTCAATTTTCCATGGCACGTGGTTTCGCCGAGAGGGGTAAAAACGGATCTCCAGAAAATTGAGTTGGTCAAAAACCGGCTGGTGCCCAAAAATAAACTCGAAGTACGCTCCTTCCTGGGACTGGCCACCTTTTATCGACGATTCATGAAAGACTGCCTCGATAGCCAAGCTACTCCACGAACTCACGGAGAAAAACCGAACATTCTAGTGGAACGACTCCGCAGCGGCGGCATT